CAATAGAAAATGATCTTGTAAAGAAGACACACCCTTCTGCAAATTAATTGAAACAAAACGAATAATTCCCTCATTATTTACTTTTTTCCGTATTTTTCCAATTAAACATGACCCAGTACACATGTTAGTACTTCGTATGTCAATTCCACGAAGTCGTTCCTTGCTGATTGACCACGGATTCTCGATTGGGTTTAAATCAGGAGAGTTTCCGGGCCAGTCTACAGTACTTTGATTTGCTCACTGGTAATGCTTGCCAGCGTGTTCGTGCAGCATTACAATCATCATACACTTCCTTAGAGTAACGTCCATCGCAGACAACGACCATAGGACAACTAATCGACAGTCGAGACAATAGTGTCTGGGCTTGATAAAAATCTGATGCAATCACGGATGACGCAATATTTTACTAGGTCTAAAAAATTTCATCATATACCCCGAAAATAGATTCATATTACTGCACACCACTACAAATGACCTAACGTGAGGAAAAAATAGAAATCGATTACACTCCGTCACTCCAGTGGGTCATAAACTGACCGTATGGTGAAAGAAAGGAAACTAAAGCGGTTGTTTCAATTAATTTGCACAAGAGTGTAGGTGTAGAAAGTTCCGTAAAAGGATTTGTAGATCTAAAGGCCAGAAAAATGTTTTAGATAAGATAAGGAATGTTTTCTTTAGACTGTATTAAGTTGTATTTTGAAATAAACTCATTATTCTACTGTTTCGGCTTTTCTAATTTTGAAAATTATATATATATATATATATATATATATACTTGTAGGGGCGCCGAAGTTCAGCTTGCCCGGGGTGCCAGCGAACCTAGGTATTTCCAAGCGGTCACTCATCTCGGTCCTGACTAGGCTTGACGTTGCTTAACCGGCGATCGTTCGAGAACTGGTGTTTCAACGTTATATGACTGCAAGGATGTGCGTGTGTATGTGTTTGTGTGTGTGTGTGTGGGGGGTAAATTGTGTTCTACATACCAAGAAAGAAAGACAGAAGGAAAGAAAGACAGAAGGAATGACAGACAGAAGGAATGACAGACAGAAAGAAAGAAAGATAGAAACAAACAAAAGATAGAAAGGAAAAGAAAGAAAGAAAGAAAGAAAGAAAGAAAGAAAAAAGGAAAGAAAAACAGTAGGAAAGAAAGAGAGACAGAAAGAAAGAAAAGTAGAAAGAAAGAAAAGTAGAAAGAAAGAAAAAATAAAAAACAAAGAAGGAAAGAAAGAAAGAAAGAAAAGAATGACAGAAAGAAAGAAAAGAAAGAAAAGAAGAAATAAAAGAAGAAGGAAAAAGAAAGAAAAGAAGAAAGAAAGAAAAGTAGAAAGAAAGAAAAGTAGAAAGAAAGAAAAACAAAGAAGGAAAGAAAGAAAGAAAGAAAAGAAAGAAAGAAAAGAAGAAATAAAAGAAGGAAAACGAAAGAAAGAAAAAGGAAAGAAAGAGAGACAGAAAGAAAGACAGAAAGAAAAGTAGAAAGAAAGAAAAAACAAAGACAGAAGGAAAGAAAGAAAGAAAGAAAAGAATGACAGAAAGAAAGAAAAGAAAGAAGGAAAAGAAGAAAGAAAAAGAAAGAAAGAAAAAAGGAAAGAAAGACAGTAGGAAAGAAAGAGAGACAGAAAGAAAGAAAGACAGAGAGAAAGAAAAGTAGAAAGAAAGAAAAAACAAAGACAGAAGAAAAGAAAGAAAGAAAAGAATGACAGAAAGAAAGAAGGAAAAGAAGAAAGAAAAAGAAAGAAAGAAAGAAAGAAAGAATAAAAAAAGGAAGTGCTGTCATTTTTTTTCTTCTCAGAAGCCAAGGGGGGTGAAGAGTAAGAGAGAACAGGAAAATAGATGGCGAGGGACGGACCGACTGACTGACAAGATGGATGTCGGCCTGGCAGGATAGTAAGCATGATTGAGTGTCGGGGTTAGCCAGGGAGGAGGTATTTGGAGCAGAGAGCAGCGTTGATCCTGGTCGAAATACTATAAAAGGAAGCAGGAATTGGAGCGAGTTATCTGACAGGTGCGCACACATGGTTAAATGAACCCCTCTCAAGGGTTTGCCGAAATAAATTCAGAATATTACGGACGTCGGTTAGGATGGAAAGTGCTTATCGAATTCGCTCTTGATACAATTACAGCATTTTAACAATCTAGCCGCTCTTTAACAACACATCAAGATATTTACATTCCTTTTTCAGATTTTTTTTTTATGAGTTACATATCTGAACCTAATCTAGCTAGATCCTATCCTGGGGTTCATTAGTGACAAGATGAAATATTAGGTTCAAATAACTTCATCGTTTGTCCTGCTATGGAAATAAAATTTCAAGCAACAGTAAAAAAAAGAAAAAAAAAGTGTTAGACTGGGTCTAAAATATTGGTTGCCAGGAGACAAACGGGGCCCACCCACAACGAGAATGCTATCATTTAATTTTCATAACGAATAAATAAAATTCTCAAAAAAATACATATGGGGAAAATACAATAAAAAGCAACGTTATATTTGCCTTGTTCTCATGTCTCAGGAGGGGGGGGCGATTATAGCTTTTAATAAATTTTGTTCTTTTATTTCTTCTAAACCACGTCCCGCCATGCATTTACTCAAGCTCATTGTGTTATGCGTTGTTTTCCTGTCTCTCTTGCCTTCAATCTGTCCTGTGCGTATCAGATTTTCCAAACCTTCCTTCCTAGAAATCTCAACTGTCTCTTCTTGATGTTAAGTATAAGTGTCCTTTTTGTTTCAAGTTTTAGTAAAACTAATCCGAAAATTGGAAAAATATAATTAAAAAAAAAAAAATTGTTTGGAGATGAATACTTGCTGCCTAAATATAGCTTATTTTCACACACACACACACACACACACACGCATACACACACACACAAAAGAAAGAGCGTCCTGGGTAAGAGGATAAACTACGTCCAGCAGCAAGGCCTCTGCTCAGGAGGTTTTGAGGAGCATGGAACCACCTCTTAATTGCTGGTGTTCCCAGGTCCATCCTGACCCGGGGAGATACCACCTGTTAGGGCCCCATCTATGGGCAAATAGCTGACCTCGAAACTGAGGTAAAAATCACTATGAAAGTGTAACAAATAGGTTTTAATATCAGAAATACTTTGTAAAAAAATTATTACCAGAAATAAATTTTTGAAGAAAAAAAAAATATTAGCAGCAATACGTTTATAAAAAAAAAATATGACCAACTATACATTTTTAAGGAAAAAAATATTACCAAAAAAAGATTTTTGACAAAACAAAATATTATGAAGAGACAAGTTGTCAACATTAAATAACCCATTGAGGTTGATATACCGTAAAACAAAACAAACAGACAAAACAAAGATGAAAAAAGTGCGATAATTTTTTACGGACATCATTTACGTTATTCGGACTATTGTCCTCATCTTTGCCGCCATATTTATAGTCCGGCCTTCTTCAGGTGGTTGGAATGTCGAACTGAAACCTTTATTTCGCTCACTGGGATAGACCAAGTTTTTAATGGATATCAGTTATCAGATTTCTCCTGTTAATTTCCCTCTGCCTTAACCAGGTATTGAACTCACACTCTGTGGGTCCTGTCACTGGATCTAACTAACGCTTTTATCCACTGTGCCATGTGTCCTTGAGATAACTGATAACTGACATCCATTAAAAAACATGACACGTGGAACTAGAACAGACTACCCCAGTGAGCGAAATAAAGGGTTCAGTTCAACATTCCAACCATCTGAAGAAGGCCAAACGTTGTAATAAATATGGCGACAAAGATGAGGACAATAGTCCGAATAATAAATAATGTATATAATACCTCATCTCAGATATATATATATATATATATATATATATATATATATATATATATATATATATATATATATATATATATATATATTGCTGGTGCTTTCGACCAACGACCACTCTGACCGTACGAATACCACGTCTGATTGGGGCCCCTGGTAGTGCTTTGCGACCCTAACTATCTTATCAACATTTGCTTTTAACTACCTACATTTATATACGTTATAAATTAAACTAAACACAGCTGACTAATATTGAAGGATGGAAAACTTTCGCAGATTTTGAAGTCATTCTGAGGTTTTATTTCGTAATAACACGATCGGGAGTGATAAATTTCGATTCCTATCTGCAAAGTTTTATAAATTGTAAATACATAAAGTTCGTGTGCACTTTAAAAATTTTTTTTAACTTTATTTGTATTTGCGATAGAAACAATTTGTAAAAAGGATTAGAAAGAAGTAAATCAATATTTTTTTAACGTTTTCTTGAAATTTTATTTAAGTTTCCACATGTACCCCCATCATTAGCAATACAAAGGGTAATACGATTTTGCAGTTCACGGAAAACACTTGCCAACTGATTTACAGTAATGCCTGAAATCACATTAGTTATTTTAGCTTTCAAATCTTCTAATGAACTAGGTTTGATTGCATACACAATTGTTTTCACATGTCCCCATAAAAAAATCTAATGGAGTCAAAGAACACAGTTTACTTTTTCCTCAGTTGAAGCCATGGATCAAATTGATTCTGGAAAAAATATTTTTTTACTTATCTAAAAATTGTTGCAAATTTTGTGTAAAGAATTATTCAATAACTATACTTAAAACTAGGTACATTAAACTTTATAACATTTTTTACAGATTATTTCTATTGCAAATACAAATAAAGTTGTAAATTTTTTAAAGTGCACACGAACTTTATGGACACACTTTATATTCCAGTTATTGTTATATGACTATATGTAAAGTTTCGGGACATCAGGATCACTGGAAATAGTCGTGTAGAGTTTCTGGCAAAAAGTATATGTCGATCACCTATTTTTTTTTTTTTTTAAATACTATTTTTATTCATTCATTTATTTGCAATGGTTTCAACCAATTCCAAAGAATGAATCTTGGGAAAAAAATCAATAATCAAATGCCAGTTGGTTTGATTACAAGGTCGAAATTAGATTACTGTGTTGTGTTTTTATCTCGTACATTCACCTTTCGCTATTCGGA